GCCCCCCCCCCCCCCCCCGTCCTGTGAATCCTGTTGCAAGATGATACTGCATCTATAGGCTTTCATCTCAGGAGACATATATGAAACGTGAGGGAATTCATTCTGTCCATCAGTATCAGTTATTATATTCTATGCAAAACAGCTTTGCTTGACACCATGTTCCATTGAAACTTGAAATCTGCAGTTGCTTTCTGGACCTGATTTTCTTTGTTTTCCAGAGAACAAAATTCTTCAGGATAGGCATGACAACTATATAAAATACAGGTTCAAAAACTAGGGATTTCAGTACATTTTCCATCGTTGTACTAAGTCCAAAGTAAGATGGTTCTTAATCCAAGAAATGCATATGATTATTTTTCTCTTGCACATCTATTTTTTTTAAATGTATTTTATACTCACAGACTAAATGCTAATATTTGGAAAACCTACCTCATTATTAATGTCAAAAACTCCTTCCTGTATTTTTTCATAGATTTCCTTTGCTGTGTTAATAAATGCCTGAAAGAAAATGGAGATGTTTGAAATAAATACAAAATATATTTCATTTACTTTTTCAATAGCTTATTATATGTTTGTCAATCTTAGAAACCTTTTTGCTTAACAACCAAGTTGCCGGTAAACAAGGATTACCTGTTCTGTTAGTCAGCAATAACCTTTCACCTGTTCAGTCTTCTTCTAGTTTTTTGATGAAAGTGGAATTCTTGATTTGGAGGTTCTCTGAATCCTGAGAAATTTCAACACTGCTAGTTCCAATGAACTAGTTTGATAGTAATTCCCAAGTTACTAATAAAATCTAGTGATAGCTTTAAGATCTTTTCAAATGTTTAACTGATTGATGTATAGATAAGACAGCATCAACAAGCAAAGCAAATTAATCTGTCCAACCAGCAGAGAATCAAGCACTATTTTCAAAAAAAAGTTTCCTATGAACTATGCTACTTATTTACAAACAAAGGAATAGTAAGCTTCTAGAATGCATAATATTGACACCCCAGTTGAGGAGAGAGAGGAAGAGGAAAGATTCTGCAATATAAATATATATATGTGAGGAGGACTTGATGGATAGATTATTAGAACAATGTGAGGTTAAAAAAAATGCTACTCTACCTTATTCCAGGTGATATTCTTTGACCATCTAGCCCAGGGTATCAAACTCAATCGCATCAAGGGCTGTATCGTGACATCTCGGGATTTGTTTTGCCGGGGTGGGTGTGGCCTGCATGGGCCGCATATTTGACATGCCTGATCTATCCTATTATGATATGACTTTGCAGACCTTCTAAAGGAACTCAAGCAGAGCTCTTTCATGTCACCAACTATTTATTCTTTTGTAGCACAGCAGGGTAAGACAAATTAGTTGTGCGAAAAGGGATGTAGGGGACACTTTTTGCCTTCTTGCCTTAATATTTATGTGAAGCCGCTGGGGGAGATCATTCGTGGCTTTGGGGTGGATTTCCATCAGTACGCTGATGATACTCAGCTGTACATTTCCACCCCAGGCCACCCCAACGATGCCCTTGACGTGATGGCCCGTTGCCTGGAGGCCGTAAGGGTCTGGATGGGGAGGAACAGACTCAGGCTCAACCCTTCCAAGACCAAGT